GCTGCGGGTGTGCAGCGAGGAGTTTGCGTGCCCGGAGCTGGAGGCGCTGTTCCGCACCTACACGCTGCGTCTGGAGCAGGCGGCCACGCTGAAGGCGCTAGCGGTGCTCAGCCTGCTGACTGCTGCGCTGGCGCTGGCTGAGCTGCTGGGCGACCCCGGGCCCGCGCCCAGCCTGGCCAGGGCTTCCCACCCTGTGCACTGCATCCTCTTCCTTATGCTTTTCGTGGTCACCAATGTCAAGTACTTGCAGGTGCCCCAGCTGCACCAGATCGGCAAGCTCACGCTCCTCTTCAGCCTCACCTTCGCGTTATTCTGCTGCCCCTTCGTGCTGGGCGGTCCCACCAATGCTCGTGACACAGGGCCAGCAGCTGCCCAGCAGGGTGTCTGGCAGCTTCTTTTGATCACTTTTGTGTCCTATGCCTTGCTACCCGTGAGTAGCCTCTTGGCCATCAGCTTTGGACTCGTGGTGGCCGCATCCCACTTGCTGGTCACCGCCACCTTGGTCCCCGCCAAGCGCCCACTTCTCTGGAGGACGGTAAGTGTCGCCAGAACCATAGTGTGTTCGAATGCACACCTGCTGGGGCGAGACCGGGTGGGGGGCGCCCTTTATCTATTGGGCGTGTGAGGAAACTGGGATCCCCTGCATGAGGAGGAGCGTCCAAGGTCACTCACTCATCGAATTGGAGCACAGGTTGGAGCTGACACCCTGGGCCCACACTCCAGAGTTATAGCCTGAAGCTCCTCTGAATCTCTAATGTAGACACATGAAAACCTGAAAACAGGGATTGGGAGGAAGAAGATCTGCCCAAGGTCATGTGAGGAGCCAATCCAGCTCTTCCCCAGTCCAAATCCCACTTGCACCCTCTGGCGCACTTATTCCTACCCCATCATCCCTAGGGGAGAAGCAGGCAAAGGTTGTAGACACCCCTAGCATACAGAACTGGGCTGTGAGCCTGGTGAGTTTGGAGCACTTGCATCCTGGCAGGCGGCCCTCCACCTCCTGGGGTCCCAGCTGTCTGTGTGGGGAACCTTCAGTCACATTGCCCATTTGGTGATGGGCTCCCCTTGGGTTTAGAGGGAACAGGTTTGGGCAAGATCATACACAGTGCCCAGTCTCTGCAGTTCCTGCCTTGGGCAGTCGTGGTCCCAGACCCACAGTGCCCTGAACTTTGTGAGAGTATCCACCTAGCTGGTGACTAGGATGCAGCCAGTCCTTCCTCAGACTCCGTAGGCTTCTGAGACCATGCACCCACCCCCTGGACATCTCTATGTCCTGGCATTGGCACTTTCTTGTGTGGGAGTGGGTTGGTGGAGCTGCATCCTTATCCCTCCATGGTCTTGGAAGGCCCTTGAGGGAGGAATTTTTGTCTCTACCTCTGGCTTAGGTTTAGTGAGAGGGTTATGCTTGTGGAGACCTAGAGGTGGGGTGAGGGAGCTAGTCTTAAGAAGAGAAAACAGAGGGGGCCACTAGAGTAAGGAGACACACAGTGAGTGATTGACCTTTTCTACCAACACCTAGAAGGAGGGTGATGGGAGAATGCAGCCAATAGAACTGTCCGGACAACAAAGCCAACATTCCATGCACATAGGAACATTACAGGCTAGAAGGGATAGAACAAGATCCTGGCATAGGGTACACCGAGCTTGACTGGACTCTTTCCCTCTAGGAGGAATAGCATGTGCTCAGATTCATGAAGTGTCCGTGGAGCACAAGGAAGGACAAAGAGATAGTGATAATCACAGACAAATGTCTATACCTGGGGAAGAGACAGCAGGGCCCTCCAGAATCACCTCTGTCATCTCAGGTGGACAATGCTGACCACTCTCATAGGGTAACTTTACTACCCTTCCCTTCCTTGACCCTCCCCGCCTGATGGGTATTTACTTGGCCTTGTACTAGCCCACATAAGTAGCTAGATTATTCCAGCAGGTGTGATCTTACCATGGGACTTGCAAACAGTGTGGGCAGCATGGAAGAGGCCATATCTAACTTCTGCTAACTACACAAGGAAAGACAGTCCCACTCTCAGTACCTACAGTACAACTCCTATGAGGTCAGACTTGGTCTCAGGCTCTCCACACCTACTTCTACTGATTCAAACACCAACTGCCCCTCCCTGGGCTTGAGCTATTATACTCTTGTGTACTCTGATATGTTGCAATGCCACAAAGACCCATAGAACTATACTCAGCATTATGGGGTTTGCTATTCAGGTTATAATTCAGGTTGAAACAGGATGCAATTCTTTAGTTAGAGCAGCTCCTCAGGAATGCTTGCTGTCTCATGGTTCCAGGTTTGTGTTACAAAACTCTTTTAGCTGTCCCCTCCCCAGGCCTCCGGTCCTCCAGCAAGCTTGAATGAAGGCCCCGGCTCTGGCTCTGGCTCCATAGGGCAGCAGTCTCCCTAGTCAACTTTGCCTCACTTTGGTTCCTGCTTCACTGCTGCTACTGTGTTCTAGGTCGTGGTCTGACTGCAGCAGGAATTTCTGGTCTAAATGGAGTTGTACTTCTTTCTTTCCAGTATAGAGAATCCTATCTTCTGCCAACCAGCCTGCTCAATTTAAGCCTGGTGGGGTGGCAAGACTGTTAAACCTCTAGTCTCAGCAATATTTCATGCTCCCATCCAGTCACGTGGGAAAAGGCAAAATCTGTGGGCTAAGCAATAAACCAGCATGAGTTGGACTGGAGGAGAGCAGAATTCTGCTTTGGAGGATCAAGGTGGGGCCAGGCTGTGCCCTGGGCAATAAGGAGTCAGCTGACACAAGAAAAGTATGTTCATTCTCTCCCTTCCCCCATATAGCCTCTAAAAGTAATTCTTTTTAGACAATTGAAGATTTAAAAAGAGGTTTACAGATGCTCTGGGCAGAGAGACCTCTTTTTACCTGAGGGGAGTTAGGTCCCAGTTGTTCTAGGGGAGCACACCTGTCCTAGGAGCATGGATTCTCATGGAGCAAACATGTGCGTTTTACTGCTGTTACCTGTAACTCTCAGGTCTTTTACTTATCTAGTACTGCTATAATAGAAATGCAACATGAGATAGCTTTAACAAGCAGAAATTTATTTTCTCACAATTTAGAAGGCTAGAAGTTCCAGCTGTTGGAGGCAAGAATGGTGAAGCTTCATCTCACTTGTTTTGGGCATACTGTTAAGAACTAATAGTTGGAAAAGGACATTAAGCTTGGGAAAGTGGAGGGTCAGTGAAGGCGAGAAAGACCCTCAACTAGATGGATTGACACAGTGATGACACAGCAATGGGCTTGAGTTTGTGAGTTTGCCAGAGATTGTGAGGACGACCCAGGATAGGACAGGGTTCAAATCTGTTGTTCATAGGGTCACTATGAATTTGCTTGACTCGATGGCATCTAACAACAACAGCAACCCAAGTAATCCATAGGGAGTTGCACTGCTAATCCAAACATGGTATTTCTCTGTGGGTTCAGATCTGCCATCAGCTCTTTGGGAGAAAAATGGCAATCTCCTATCATGTGATTTACAGTCTTTGACTGCTGGAGGGTCAACTAAAAGTTGGTTCCAACTCCTCAGCAGTGAGTGAGTGAGTGACTTTAGAGGAAGTTGTTCTCTTTCTGTGGGCTCTGGAGGCAGTTGCTGGTCCTGGGAAGCATTCATATGATTTGGCTTCCCTGTTTTGATTGCATATTTAAATGCCTCTATTTCAAAAGAGATTTTTTTAAAGACACATTCTCTACTAATTCTATCTCATTAACATTACACAGAAAAGCCTTTCTCAAATGGGATTATAAATTCAGATCTTAGGGGTTAGGTTTTTGATTTCTTGATTTGCTGTCCATGAGCACTGATTGTGGATCCAGGTAAAATGAAATCTTTGGCAACTTCAGTCTTTTCTTTTTTTTTTGTCACGATACTGTTTATTGATCCAAATATCGGGATTTTTGTTTTTATGTTGAAGTGTAATCCATACTGAAGACATACTAAAGTCTATATCTGTATCATTCAGTCTGTAATCCATACATGAAGTATGATCAAAGTGATCATAAGTAAATGGAGGATTTAGTATTACTTGGTTCCACAATCAACACTCATGGCAGCATCAGTCAAGAAATCAAAAGACGTGTTTCATTTGGAAAATCTGCTATCTTCCAAAGTGCTAAAGAGCAATAATGTCAGTCTAAAGACTAACATCTATGAAAAGAATAACTGGAGAAGCGCCATATCAACTGTAAAAACGAGACCAGGTGCTGATTTTGGAACAGGCCATAAACTACTTATATGCAAGTTCAAATTAAAGTGAAAGAAGGTTAAATCAAATCTACAAGAACCAAAGTTTGACCTTGAATCTATCTCATCAGAATTTCAAAACCATCTCAGAAACAGATTTGAGGCCTTAAACACTAATGAAGGAAGACTAAATGAGCTGTGGGAGGATATCAAGAAAATTATCTACGAAGACTGCACAAGGTTATTACAGAGACAAAGGAGGAAGAAAAACACCAAACTGGACATCAGAAGAGACTCTGAATATTGGACTAGAGCACTGAGAAGCCAAGGCAAAGAGAAGAAATCAAGAAGTTAAGGAGCTGAACAGAGAGATTTCAAATGGCAGCTTGAGAGACAAAACAAAATATTATAATGAAATGTGCAAAGAGCTGGAGTCAGAAAATAAAAAGCATTTCACAACATTTCTTAAGCTGAAGGAACTGAAGGACAAATTCAAGCCTTGAGTTGCTGTTATGGGCAGAATATTAAATGACCCAGGAAGCATTAAAAGGAGATGGAAGGAGTATACAGATTTACTGTACCAAAAAGAATTGGCTGACACAGAAAAATTTCAAGAAATGACATATGATCAAGAGGCGATGGTGGTGAAGGAGGAAGTTCAAGCTGCTCTGAAGGAATTGGCAAAAAATAAGGCTGCGGAATTGATGAAATACCAATTGACATATTTCAACAAACAGATGCCACCCTGGATGTGCTCATTAGGTTGCGCCAAGAAATCTAGAGGACAACTATCTGATCAACTGACTGGAAGAGAACAATATTTAGTCCTATTCCAAAAAGAGTGACCCAACAGAGTGTGGAAATTATCTAGAAATATCACTAATATAACATGCAAACAAAATCCTGATGAAGAATATCCAGAAATGACTGGAACAGTATATTAATAGATAACTACCAGAAATACAAGATGGATTTAGAAGAGGCTTTAGCACTAGAGACATTATTGCCAATGTCAGATGGATTTTGGATAGACATCAGAGGGATGTCTATCTGTGCTTCATTGACTATGCAAAGACATTTGACTGTGTAAATCACAACAAATTGTGGCTAACCTTGAGGAGAATGGGAATCCCATAATACTTAATTGTGCTCCTGAAAAGCCTGTATTTGGATTATGAGGCAGTTGTCAGAATAGAGCAAGGAAACACTGGATAGTTCAAAATTAAGAAAGGAGTACATCAGCAATACATCCTGTCTCCATACCTTTTCAATCTATCCATGGAACATATCATTTGAGAGGCTGGACTTTGTGAAGAAGAATGTGGCATCAGTATTGGA